TGTTTGATCTTATATTTATTTTTTCTTCTTTTCGCTTTTCTTTTACCTGTTTTTACTTCATTTTCATTCATTTTTATTTTTTCTTCTTCCAGGTCGCAATCCGTGTCAGAAATCTGCTTTGGTTCGTCATTATCACTGTCTTGATTTAAATTTTTTTTTTCTTCTCTTTTTTTATCTTGTGTTAATTCTTCATTTTTTTCTCTCAGATTATGATTGGTTTCGAGTTTTTGTTCATTAAATGTTGATTCATTATTCGTGTTTGTCATTGTAACAGGATTTGAATCAAATTTACTCTCAGTGTTCATTTCATCTTTTCTTTGTGTTGATGAAGTCGTACTAACTTCATCGGCTATTTTATTTAGGTTGATAAGGGCATGTGGTGTCGTTTGGTATGGATTTTTTGTTACGTTATAATTAATCTCTTGTCTTAGGTAGTCAATATCTGTCGCTTCTACCATGATGGTTGTTGATTTGATAATGTGCAAGAACCCAGATATCATTAATGGTTTACCGATTTTAAGATTGGCGCGAAGGTGGTTAAATCTCGTGTGTTGAATTGGATAGAAAACTGTAATGGGCATATAAATATCACGATTTCCGGTGCAGGAGTTATACTCTTTGGTTTCTACTCCGAAATGGATTGTTTCACCCATAGTATTTAAGTCGCAAATGACCGTTGTGTTGAACATTAAGTGGGGAGTGTTAAGGGGAATCAATTCCAGGTTAAATTCGTCACTCGAGTCTTTCTTATCGACTTTAGTGGCTGAGGCGATTGTTATATATTGTTCTGAATTTTCTATAACAAATTTTCCCGTGATAGATACTATATCTCCTACCGAAAAGTTTAGTAATTTATTGGATGAATCAAAATATTTCTAATGCAGGGTTATAAATGTGTTTTCTGAAGATTGATATTGCGCTATTCCGTAAGCGAATGAACTGGTGTTATTTTTTGCGGTTATTATTACTATAATTGAGGCATGAATTGGCATTTCTGAAATTGTAGTAGAACTTTTTTTACGTTTTTGTAGATATAGTAAAAACGTATAGTGCATCTTTTTTACGGGCTCAGGTATTTTTATATACTTTTCTGTCTTTTATGTACACGTATTATTTAATTATGATATTTGTTTAGTATTTCCATTTTTATGGCATAGCATATTTTTTTTTTATGTCAATTTACGCCATCAGTGTATTTATTGTGTCATAACATTTGATTTATATGATTTTGAATTATCAATTATTTAAATTCATAGCATGATATCGGTTGTACTGTACGATTTCTTTTATCGGGTGCATTGTACTATTTTTTATTTATTTTATTTTATTTAAAATTGATACAGTAATCATTTTTCCCATATATATTCTTTTTAGTTTATTTATATCGTAATCATTATTTAATTTTTTTTCTTTTTCTTCGATATCAGATGCGATTTTGTAGTAATTGTGTATTTGCTACGTGAAATTTGTTCGTATGCATTTATTGTATTTTTATTTTTATTTTGTTATTAATTTAATTAAATAAATTTTTATTTGCACATATATATATACATATGCATATAAATTGAATATATATATATATATTTATATATATATTTTATTTATTAATAAATTATAGGTTTCATACTGATGCCTCAATTCAAAATCTACAATCACCAAACATAAAGTCTGGCATCGGCTGGATCTGTGAAAATAA